CAGCTTCCAGAATGTTGAGACAAATTTCTGTTATTTAAACACCCCAGTTTTTGGTATTGTGTTAATGACAGCCCTAGAGAACTAACATACAAACTTTCTCACCCTTACCTTCCATCACAACCACATCCTCTCCTTGGGCCCCCAGCTTACTCCTGCTTCTTATCATGTGAATGCTCCCAACTCTTCCCTAATCTCACTCCACAACCTCCTCTCCCAATGTCCTTCAGCCCTGTTTCTGTTCAGTAAGTACCACTGGCATTTTGGATGGGGCAGTTCTCCGTGTAGAGCTGTCCCACACACTGCAGGATGTCAAGTACCCCTGATACTCTCATTCCCCCAGGATGCTACAGAGTCCACAGGGAGAACTTCTGCTCTAGCATCTCTAAAGCCATTTGCCCTCCAGGGTTTGATTAAGGGTCCCACCACCTACTGAGTATGATCATATGATCTCAGTAAGCTCAGTTCACTTCAGTCTCTTCATCTGGAAAATGGGAATATATATTAATAATTACCCTGCCATGTGTCAGTGAGGATCCAATGAACTAAAGATCCTAAAATGCCCAGGTATACTCTCATTAGCTCCATCTGTTACTGGAGTAACTTAGATATAAACACCCAGTCTGTTCTACATGATCACATCCTGACTTTAAGTGCCTTAGAACTCTTTTCTGAGGTGCCCTTACACAGGGAAATCTCACTGACTACATTCACGGGGATGTAACAACTTACCTGGTAATTGTGTGTATAAAATAGTTATAGATCACCCAAAGAGGGAGGTATACATTTTTTACAGTTGTAAACAGCAAGACAACTCTGAGCATAGTTTCCATGTGTTCCCCTTCCATATTCACCCTCACTTTAAAGTTCTATCTATGTTTTTCAAATTTGCTTCCAATTCTTTTGCATCTTTTTGCTCCTAGTGTGATGGTGGCTATCCAACATTCTAGGATATACTGACATCTAGCTTGTTTCACCCTGCCCCATGGAAACATCTCCCAAGCCAGCATCAGTCCTTCACTCTCCTTGATTAAACAGTGTGCATCCCAAGTCTCCAAACTGAATGGAGACAGACAGCACTGATTTATGCCATAAGGGCAGGGTCCACTTCTGTTCTGACCACCACATACACCTAGCACCTAACATCACCTAATACAGAGCCTGGGTAAGTAAGTTTTCAGTGATTGTCTGATGAGTACATGAATCATTCAAGGCATGAATGAATGCATTCAGGCATCAGGAATCTGGTTTCCTATGAAATCTCAGCTCTGCAATGACCGGACATAAATGGCCTCCGGGAAAGTCACTTAATCTCTACACCTAAATTTCCTTTTCTATAAAATTAGGTAGTTGGGCTTCACTAGAGATATCTTTAGGTTTCCCTTGAACTCTAACAGAGCCCAGGAACTTTAATGAGGAGTAAAAGACTTTATTCACTTTTTGATAAATGTTAGTCAAGGCAAGTAGGAAGGTAAAGATTCTTCTGAAATCACACAACCAGGGCTCCCCCACTGCCAGGTAGCTCCATGTTCCCTGAGAAACAAAAGGCTCTAGGCAGCAGAAAAGCCACAGAAACTGAAGACATCTGTGAGATGCTAAGCACTACGGAGTTTGTTATCATGGGCTTCTTTCAGTCTTCTTTCAGGAGTCTACCCTGTCCTACCCAAAGCTCCTCCTTTCCAGCTTGAGCAAGTTGGGCTCAAGAACTTTCTCCCAGGCTCCAAATCTAACTCAATTCCTCTCCCTGCCAACTGCCTAAGGCTCCCACATGTATATTTTATTATTTCTGACACATTTCTTCTTTATCTGACATCCTGCGTTGCATCTCACTGCCTCCTATATTATTTCGATCTCTGGTAAGAATGTTCCTGCAAGAAGCATGTGTCCTTAGGTTATACTTTACTACCTTTACTAACTTATGTCCCACCTGTAAATTCCTTGGAGACACCGATCACACCCTCTATTCTTTGGCTTCCCAGAAGACCAAGGACAGAGCTGGGCAAACAGAAGACTCTTAGAAAATACTTGTTGAATAAATAAATGAAATAATTGACTGATTTCAATGTTTTTAAAGTAAAAAGTCTTATTAACATATTTCCTAGACAAAGTTACTAAGAATTCCCCTTTCAGGAATACATCCAGAAGAAATTAAATTATAAAATGACATTTCTATGAATATACTATTTTCTTAGAACTGAGAAAAACAATGTCCCTACAATACAATGTGAATAAATAGCAACATGGTCAGTTAAGTAATCAGATTTTCAGGTAACTGTAGCGTAATAATGTGGCATTGCTTTTGTTTCCTAGTAAAAGCTGACTCCACCTGGAGCCAGGGAAGACAAAAGAGGAATATCTTTTGGTGTTAGCTATTCCATCTGTTGAAGCTGGAGAGCCTAGGGGGGTCGGAAGAAGATAGGATGATTTTCTCTAAATAGATTGTTTAAATCTATTAATGATTGAAGTGGAGCATCTTTTTGGAAATCCCTGGGACTTACTTGGCTAAGTCTAATTCTGGTCACATTTCTTCCTTGGGGTTTAATAAACTTCAGCTAAAACCAAACTGACTCGAGAATCAAATTATTTGTTCTCCCATGCACTTGCTGGTCACAGTTGGGTACCAAATGAAACACTACCAACAGTCAACCCAATACTGCTGGAGGGACCATACCATGGCTATGCCACCAAAGCTTAATATAGCTTAATGCTGGCCCCATTAGCCTCGCCGGCCCAAGAATTGATCTAAACATCGTCATTAGTTCTTAGAAATAATTATTCTTGCATATGAACATAGCCTTAACATCACTAAAAGTATGGATATTACAGATAAACCGTGTACTGATATGAGAGATAAAACTACAATTTGAGGAGACTTAATGAATAACTGTGTATTGGTAAAACACATAACTGAGGAGACTCAACAAACAAGGATTTTCTAAAACCTGAAAAGACTGGGTCTTCAAACAGCACCAACATTAATATAGGTAATTAGTGTTTATAGTCTGTAAGCATGTGGTAACTGCGCATGTCTTCTAGCTCAAATGAAACCATCTCAGAAGACATGCTATGAGGTACACCATTGGGGGATCTGAGCCTTCACAGTAAAATGCCCAAGGAAAGAAATTCACTTTGAGACTAATAGATAAGTATATTGTTCAAGCAAAAGAAGCTGTTATAAGAATTCATCCACATTTACTCACCTGGCAAAGTCAAAATACTTTAAAGCTAGAGTGCAATTCTGAGTTATTCATAAAAATCCTTCATTTTACAGAAGAGAAACAGGTAGATATGAGGCACCTTACCCACGCTTACACCCTAAAACTTCAGGGCCCACACTAAAACTTAAGTCTCTTAATTTTAGCTCCATGTGCAAAACACAAAACATTACATTTAAAAGTTAAAAAGGCACACAGCAGGCAGGCAATAAATATTTGCTAATGGCACTGAAAAAACAAGGATGTGGAGTTCCCAAATTATCTCAATATACTACGTACTAATAAAATAAGCCAAGTCATTACCTCGACTTTGTCTGACTTGCTCAACGTAGTCTAGGCTTTATCTCTTATGGAAGGGATGATAAAAATCATCCCTTCCATAATTAATATAATGCTACAGGGAAAATTATTGAACCATGCAAGTCGGTGGTGAAACCAAGAGCTCTGTAGCACTCTTAGTAAGGAGTGCATCTGAATACATCTACCCTTGAAACAGTGCCAGTTTGCAAACACATCAAGTGTAGCTTCATAGGGGAAATCTACAAAAGGCAGGGATGACTAAGCAACCCAAACAGCTAGAAACGCCAGAAACTGTCGGAAGTCTGAAGACCCCAACATGCCCGCACATAAGGATAAGTTGGAATTTCCCATCTATTGTTTCTAGTGCAAATGGGGGTATGATCGTGTTAGTTTCTTTTTAAACAAAAAAACTTCAGTGGTTTACAAAGATTTTCAAACAGTATTTTATTCTATCCTCCATTCCACCCACTTAATAAAGTTTGAGACAGTATGACTAAGCTACTGGGCAGGCAATTGGCCAGACCAAACTTTAAGCAATCTACAATGCACTTTTTGATGTTATTTGATCATATATGTCACCAAGGAGGCTCGTAAATCTACAGTTCAACTCTTGGTTAAGGAAAGGTCTCAATAATCATGTAAAACACATGTGCTATGTGCCTTAGTGGGCTATCAAATACACTACCGAATTTTTCCTTAAAGTCTGACATCTCTACCTATTTAACTTTCCTTCCTTTAAAAAAAAAAAAAAAAAATTCAAGAACATCCACCAAAGAGAATAACTAATTAAATTCAAAAATCACAATTCATCCATCCCCAGGATAAAATTTACCACAGCATTACAGATGGAAAAAAAGAAAAAAGTGTGCATACACACACATTTACATAAAGATGTAAAAATATTTATGGAACCCTAAGAAAAATAAAATGACAGTGAAAGCAAACCACCCTGGCACAACAGGACAAGCCTGGTTTACCATTCTCTTTGCGCAGGTATAAAATGCACTTGCTGGCGGGGAAGGGAGGACGAAGAGCAATTCCCACTTAAACTTGTTTTATTCAGGCCTAGATTAACAAACCAAAGCGGCAAAAAAAAGTACCCGTGCAAAACATAACCAGCCTGAAGGTCCCAAACACGGAAGAAGTAAACGAGGGGAAGGGGCACCCCCGAAGCTCCTGAACAACCCGTTCCCCAAATTTCCACACCACACAACAGGAGCTGGGGGCTTCCCTCGGACTCCATTTTCAGGCCGCGTTGTTTGCCTCTAAGGCCACGCAGGGTGGGCATTTGGGTGAGGCCGGGGTCCCCCATCCACCTTTCCTCCCTGCCCTTTTCATTGTTGTCGGAGTGTGATGGATCACCTGCCGCGCGCGGGCTCCCGCGGGCAGACGCGCTGAGCTCCAGGACGCGCAGTGACGAGCTCCGCTCGCCTCCCGCAGAACCCGCGCCCAGGTACCCCAACCCCTGCCCGCCCCCACCGCGCTCACCGCCACGAAGCCTGAGGAGGAGGCGATGAACACGCGGATGACCATCCTCTCAGTGCGCCTAGAACAGAACCCTTGCCCCCCCGGCTCCGGGCTGGCGCGGACACAGAGATGAACCCGGCTCTGAGCCGCTGCCGCCGCCGGGCAAAGCACTACAGTCGGGGAAGTTCGCTGGGATCCGGCTGGCTCCCTCTCGCCCGGTGTGCAGATAAAAGCCCAGCGCCGCCCGGCCGCAGGCTGAAGGGAAAGGAGAGAGAGGAGGGAGGGAGCCGGCTGCGGGGCGTGATGGGAGTTGTAGTTTGCGTCTCTTCCTGGAGCTGCTGGTGGACTGAGCTCAGCCAGCCCCCTCCTGACTGCGCTTCGATCCCGAACACGCGCAGGTGGCTGGAGGGGAGCCGCGGGCTGGGGAGAAGCTGTGAGCTGAGTTGGCAAGAATCCTGGCTTGACGAGGAAAAAGCAAACTAGGCAAAAGGGCTTGGTTCAAAGTCCAAGCTGGGGATCTGTATTCTGGTATACTGGTTTGGAGCATCCACACCCAGAAATGCAACAGCCACGATCGTGCAGCGGTCACACACCGCCTCAGCTGCTGCTGGCTTACCTGGCAAGCCCTAGCGACCTGAAGCAGGCGGGATCGGCGAGCCGGCTGCTCGGGAGGTGCGGGCGGTGGCCTTGGGCTCGCTTGTTTTTCCAGCAGCTCTGGAGATTGCAGAAAGGTGATTCTTTTGGGTAAATGAGAGGTCTTCTCTTGTCTGTAGACACTGAAAATTAGAAACCGAGATGGGAGCACAGCCGATATTATATTTTTCTTAGCAAAACTGTAATTGTAGTAGGATAAAATAAATTCCAAAAGAAATTGGAATCCTTCTATCAACACTGGAAATCAGGACCCCACCTGCCCCACCCCTATCCTACACAATGGCTTTGCCTCTGTGCACCTAATATTTATACTTCAGCCAAATCTGTGCCTTTTTCAGAACCGCTGCACATTCCAGCGCAGTTTCCCAGGAGGATGCTATTAAATAAAAAGCTTTTATACAGTTGCTAATGTTTAGGAATAGTTTTTTAGTAAATGCTTTCTGTTTGACAAAAGCTCAAGCCTCTCTCACAGTTTTGTTGAAAGGAACCAGTTTTCCCTGCTGTACTGTATTTACTTTTTTCCTTTCAGCACGGGAGTTTAGCAGAGATCTGGGAACAATGTTAATTAAGTAAAAGTAAGAAATTAGATGATGAGGTCTCTGGCTCTTTGATAAATTTCTTGCACAAAAAGCAATCATTGTGAAGTACTTTTTACAGCACTAAATTATGAAATTAGTGCTCTAAATTCACAATTATGAGTATTTCAAGTTTATAACCTTTCCTTTTACTTATCTTAAGCCATTTCTGTAGTAGGAATCTTTTTAAATTTCCTTCAATAACAGAAGAGACAATCCTAATGGGACTTTCTTATTTGTGTTTAAAATTTTAAATAGAAATTTTGCTGTCTTTAGTATCTTTCAGCAAATGTACTTTAATTTTGCTACCATAAATGTGGAAATGTTTATAAAATAGAAAATAATTTCCTTAAAAGTAGATACCATATTTCCTATATAAATGCAAGTCTTTTAGGCTGGGCGCAGTGGCTCATGCCTGCAAATTATAGCACTTTGCGAGGCCAAAGCGGGCAGATCACCTGAAGTCAGGAGTTTGAGAACAGCCTGGCCAACATGGTGAAACCTCGTCTCTACTAAAGACACAAAAAATTAGCAAGGCATGATAGCATGTGCCTGTAATCTCAGCTACTCAGGAGGCTGAGGCAGGAGAATCACTTGAACCCGGGAGACAGAGGTTGCAGCGAGTCGAGATCACTCCACTGTACTCCAGCCTGGGCGACAGGGCAAGGCTCCGTCTCA